TGATTGAAACACCTTACCTTGACCCACACTAAAAACAGACTTCAAGTGTTGATCAATACATGCATGCATGTCACAACATATGTATTTGTATAAAAAAAAAACGAATTGCAGTTATTGGACTTTGTTCATGTCATTTACTGTGATACTTCCTAGTTTTTTCTTTCTTTCTTTTTGTTATTGTGGAATGTCTCTGCCACTAAATTGTTTTCTTGATTCATTATTGACCCATAGAGAATACAGAATGAGATGGCTACCTCTTAGGACTGGGTGCACAGAAGACTTAGAAATGGGCAGGGAGTGAAAAGGAAGAACATACAGAAAGAGCATGTGTAAATTGTCATCCTCTAGGAGGTGTCTTACACATTGTTTACAGACAGAATTACTTTTCCTGAGAAACTCACATAATTTTCAGCTTTCTAGGAAGTTCAGTCATTGATCCTGTTATAGCTACTCAGGACTTAATCCTTAGTTTTATTATCTGAAAGGAAGCAGCTCCTCTTGTCATTACTTATAAGAGCATGAAACTGCACCACTGCCAACTACCAAAACAACTTGATTGCAATTTAGGAACCTGGTTCCTTTGCTTTGGTTTTTTGTTTCTATTTTTTGTATGTGTTTGTTTTGTGAGCTTGAACCAAGAGCCTCATGCATAGAAAGTATGTACTGAACTACAACCCTAAGACCAGTTCCCTTTGAAGTTTCCTAGATAAATAAGAACATTTTCTAGTCTTCTCAGTATGTAAAAATAGCAAAGGATAATTGAGGAAGGGTATATTGAATGCACAAAGCTTTGGTCTCTGTATGGCTGAGGACAGTTTACCCAGTTCTTGAAACAAACTATTACTGACATAGATGAATGTATTTCTTTAAAATTTTAAATGAATATTATGTAAGGAAATTTCATTCTAAGGGATGAGGATATAACTCTAGCATGCTTGAGGCCCTGGCTTTAATCTCCAGCACTCAAATCCCATAGGAAAGAAATTTCAGTCTTCAGATGTTTAACAAAGATCTTAAATCTGGATTCCCAGGCATGGTAGCAGATATACATGTTATACCATTTTGGGAGAATGAGGAAGGAGGATCAAAAATATGAGCGCAATCTGGGCAGCTTACCAAGACTGTGTCTCAAATGAAAAATACGGGAAAGGGAGACGGTAGCTCAACACAAGAGCATTTACATAGCATGTGTGAGGCCTTGAGTTCAGTCCCCAGTACTGCAAAGAAAATGTTTCATCTAGCATTTACCCTTTAAAGCCCTTGTTTGTGTTGCTTTAAGGTATGCTCCTATTGCATTCTCATGCCCAATGGTAGGTGATGCCTGAAATGAAATACCTAAGACCAGAGCACAGTGAATGAAGGAGATGGAATCTCATCTTGCCTTTCAGTTATTGGTCTGCAACATTTTTTACTTTACTTTTTAAAGAAGTGTTAAGCTCAGCACACACAGACACATATACACACAAATGTGTATGTATTTTGTATGATAGGAAAGTCAGTGATTTAGAATTTCTACTTTTATAAGCATAGGTCAATATAGAATAACCAATAATATGTAAGAAATGCATCAGTGGAAAAATACTAAGAACATGGATAGATATGTCTACATGTAAATATAAGTAGATCTAGATATATCTAGATGCACATGTACATATTTATGTATAACTACAAATATTTATATTTGAAGCAAGAAACATTGGTGTATATTTGAAAGTTAGAAGTCAAATTTCCATTTTATTTTACTTGATACAAATTTTATCAGTAAATCCAAAGAGATTGTTTTAAAAGCTATTAAAAGGGAGAGAACTCTAATATGAAATGAAATTAGTATAACCAAACCAATAGTTTTCCAATGTGTACTATATCATTATTCAGAAACATAAAGCAAAACCTTACTTCTAAATTATTAAGATAGTTGAACAGTTTTTAGAGTTACCTGTGAAAGTATAAAAATGTGTATGAATAAATTTTGAAATATTAACATCTTAACCATTTTAAAAGTTGTGTTCACACAGCTTTTCAATTTATCTCTGTTAGAAGTAGCAGTAGTAGGGGCCGGGGAGATGGCTCAGTGGAATATGCACTTCCCTGGCAAGCACAAGGGCCTGAGTTCAATCCTCGGTTCCGGGAAAAAAAAAAAAAAAGAAGTAGCAGTAGTTAATGCCACCCTAGGAACTTACAGACAAGTCAAGAGATAAGCATAGTCAGCATAGTACAGCACAGATTAGTGATGCTAATTCTCCCACTCCTCCTGTCTCAGCCTCCTTGACACTGGGATTATAGGGCTACGCCACCGCACTCAATTTCAGTGGCTGCCAGTGGAATTACCAATTCCCTTTGAATTTGCAGCCAGGATGTCAGCATGTGGATCCCTTAAAGGAGTGGGGGAGAAAGACTAGAAATATGAAACCATACTCTTCTAGAAGGGTACAATTGACTTGCTCAGGCTGTTAAATACAAACTAGATTCTAGCCCAGCCCTAAAAGAGATTGTTTAGCCAATTCCTTGTGATGGTAGATTCTGTAGACTTTCTACATTGCCTGAAAAGCAGTATGAAGGACTAAGGAATGTAATAAGTTAAGTTAAATCTTAGGAAAGTAGTTAAAGGGTGGAAATATAGCTCAGTGGCCCAGTGCCTGCCTGGCAAGTCATGAGTTTGATTCCTGATACCCTCCCCCTAAAAAAAGGAAAGCAACTAAAAAGGCACAGTATGAATTCTTGCCCTCATCATGAACTGTTGGATTTTTAGTGGTGAGGCTGGTGGTATGTTGCTGGGCAGAAGGTATGGCCAGGAGACAGCTGGCCACCAACTCCAGTCTGATTTCTCACTGGTAACTTCTAAATACTGTCTCTTCAGGATACAATGTTTGATAGTGTTCAGTTGTTACATGATCAGATCAACTGGCCCCATATATCCCCTCCACAAATGAATGTAAACCTCAGTACAGATTTTAGTATTTTCCTTGCTAAATAAAATCTTGAACTTTATCCCCAATTTTTACTACAATGATGGCTATGAGAGACAAGAAAGGCAGTTTCCTAGAGCTGGCTGGACTTAGAAACACTGACTTAAAATGATAAGACTCAAGACTGTGAGATGTGTTAGCTTAGTCACAAATACAAACAGGTTGACCAAGTTTATTTCTCCCTTTAGCAAGTTATAGCAGAAACAAGATTATGAAACACTTTTTTTTTTTTTTTTTTTTTTTTTGGCAGAACCGGGGATTGAACGCAGACCCTTGCACTTGCCAGGGAAGCGCTTATTCCACTGAGCCATTTCCCTGGCCCCAACACTTTCTTTATTAAAAGCAAGGCACATAGGGACTGGGAAGATAACCCATGGCCTAAGTGCCTGCCTAGCAAGCACAAGGACCTGGGTTTGATCCCCAGTACCACATGCCATACTGGCCACTGAAACTGAGTGTGGTGGCACAGCCCTATAATCCCGTTGTTGAAGAGGCTGAGACAGGAGGATCCCTATGAGTCCAAGCTGCATAGTGAGACCCTATACCAAATAAATAAATAAAATATTTTTTTAAAAAAAACAAGGCACAGGAAGTTAATGAGATGACCCCTGGGGTCCAGGGGTGTATTTGTGTATCTAACAACTTAATACAAAACTCCATGTCTTAAAACAGCAAACATAACTGTCGTCCTGTTTCTATGGGTTAGGAAGCTTAATGTGGCTTTGCTGGATGCTCTGACTCTGGTGTTTTGTGACTATAGTTATCATATGGGGCTGTGATCTTTGCTGAATGTGCCTTGGGGTGGCTTTACTGTCAAGGTCATTCACATGGTTGTTCAGAGTTCCAGTTTCTTCTTATATGGGCCTTCCCCTAGAAGCTCTTCCAACATGGAAGCCTTAGTTTTCCTGTAAAACTAATCTCAAAAGTGGCTGCTTTGCTGCCCTGCCATGAACTGCTCTCCCCACGATGCCTTTCTCCCATGCCACCCTGCCTTGGGGTCAGCGTACTAGGGATGGAAACCTCTACAAACTGTGAACCAAATAAACCTTTCCTCCTTTAACTTGTGGGTGTCAGATATTTTGTCTCAGCAGAGAGAAAAGTAATTAAGACAAATGGCTTTTCAGATGGAATATAGTATGAAGTCCATCTTATTGTGAGAAAGTGCTAACCTACTATGGCTTTCTGGAGCTAAGTTTATAATAGAAATAAATTGGTACCTCAAAAGATAAATAGTGCCAGAAGTGAACTAAAAATGTAATAGCAAGGAAGAACAAAACAAATCAGCCATAGATCTTGAGTTACATGTGACCACTCTGTATGTGGGCAAGGCATGGGGAGCTCCCAACAGCATTGCTATGTTATAACATGACTCCACTGCAAAGCAGTTGAAGTTCATGTTGATCCTAGTGATACAGGGGAAATGATGGGAGTTACGAGTTCAGATGTGTTGGCCACTCCTGCGTCCTTCACCCTAGAAGTTAGCAGTTCATCTTAGAAACATTTCCATCCAAAGTGGCTAAATGAAGACATGTAAAAAATATCGATAGGTAAAAGGAACAGCTGTCACTATTTTTGAAATATTGTGGGGAGCACATAACTCCCAGAAACCCTTGGAAAAACCATTGAATGTGTTTCTTTTTTTTTTTTAATAAATTTATTTATTTATTTATTTTGTGTGTGTGTGGCCAGCTCAGCCCACCAGGAGGCAGGGCTGGTTGGCATGTGGTGCTGGGGGATTGAACTGCGGTCCCTGTGCTTTGCTTGGCTTAGCTTGTTCTAAGTAGGTGCTTTAGACCACTGAGCCATCTCACCAGCCCTGAATGTGTTTCTTTCATGCCTGTGATTCTTTAGTGGTTCTGTAACTAGATTGTTTTTAACTCTTCCTTCTTGGTGGTTTGGTTTTGCTTTTGTTTTTTCCTGTAAAGCATGTTTTCAGAGAGTGTAATCAGTTTAGTAATGAGGAAGCTATTGAAAGATTTTGAGGCTAGTAGCTGAGGAACGAATGTATTCAATGTAACCTCTTCCTCTACACAGGGACTGCATGAGTCCTCAGAGAAGCCCCCTGTGTCTGTGGCCTGTGGCAGTGAGAGCCCCCTGGATGGGATCTGCTTGAGTGAATCAGATAAGACTGCCGTGCTCACCTTGATAAGAGAAGAGGTAAAGGCTTTCTGGTTTTGTCTGCATATTACTCCATTTTCTTTGGCAAGCCCAAGTGCCAGCCAGTAGATTCCATGTCTCTTGGCCCAGGTTACCCAGGCTCCAAATTCTTCTCTGCAGTTCATTCATGTAACTCACATAAAGGCTCCCTATAAGACGCAGCTAGTGGAGCCCTAACATGCTGGTTTCCAGGGAAAAAAATAGATGTTCTGAGACACTCTTAGAAATTTTATATGCTTTTTTACTTTTAGTCTTGAAGTTTTAAATATCTAAGTCTGCCAACTCTGTTGTTGTCCATGTAAGCTCATGCCTAAGAATACCTCAAATTCTAGGCTTGTTGTAGTATAAAATTGGGTTCCTAATTCCATCCATTCTTTAAACAGTTTATTCTTCCCCAGATCCTATATTGTATTTACTTAGTAGCCTCTGTTCCACCTAGATCACTGGCCATCCTTTCCCAGGTGATCTCAAAATATGGAAGACACTGTCATACACTTCTGATCAGTTACCGCACTCAGACAAGTGTCTTCTCTGTATCTGTGTGTGTGTGTGTGTGTGTGTGTGTGTGTGTGTGTTGATTCTTAAGATTCCCCCCCTTTTTTAAAGAAGATAGCTCTCTTGGTGTAACAAGCTGGATTTTATATATGATAAAAGTAGTTAAGTACCTCAACTGTAGGTCTGTCAACATTTTATGACATCATGATAAGCCAGTTGTGCACGATGTCAGCACTGTTGTCATGTCTGGGGAGCAGTGGTGAGACTTGCCAAGATCTTATGAGTAAGAAAAGGGACTTTATCCTCCTCCTGTAAGTTAGACTATGACTTGGCCACTTTTTGGATCAAAGCAAAGGTGTGCCTTGTCACCAGAAACACACATATTGCTTCTGTTCTTGAAATCCTTATTAAAGATAGCCAAGTGAAGACCATACCAATCAAAAGAGGGAAGTGCAGCCCAGGAAGAGCTGTGAAAGGGGAACCATGAATGTTCCTTGCAGACTCAACCAGGGAAGTAGAGTTGACTGATGGATTTAATGAGTATCTTTCCAATTACTAAGTGTATCCCAAATATGGATATGGGTTCTGGTCTAACTAGGAAGATCCTGCCCACAGTGAGGGATGCTAGAGAGGGATGTACCCAGTCTCTGCATTCTGCTTCTGTGTTCCTCTTTCTGACTCCAGCTTTATCAAGCATTCAGAGATCTCTATGGAATGAAAATGTGCTGGCCATGCCAACTTCTAATATTCTGATTTGTGGCACCTACATTTCTCATCCCAAAGAAAATTGATGGTCTGGCTCTACTGCAGTTATGTTGTTTTGGTGAAGGTGAACCTGCCAGGAAGATGGCTCTGCCTTGATGTCCTTCCTGTTCAGACTTCAGACCTACAGAGTTGAGAGCCAGTCTCTGGGCCAAGTTAGGATTCAGGCTTGTCCATCCTTATCTGGTAACTACAGTTCAGCATTTTGTGTAGCAGAGCATGCCCTTTTCCAAATGTTTATGAATGTTAAAAAAATGCTGAGGCTTTATATTCCTAATGTTGGAAGAATGTCCTAGGTTGTACTTGGTCTTGTGTTGTTTTTAGTCTCCAGTGTTAAATTCAAAAACTGTAATAGACTGATTTGGTAAGACCAAACTTTATTTTTACGTAGATAATCACTAAAGAAATTGAAGCAAATGAGTGGAAGAAAAAATATGAAGAGACGCGACAAGAAGTCTTGGAGATGAGGTTAGACTGGAAGCTGGGGGGAGGTCAGAGGTCTTTATATAGATGCTTGCACATGAGGGCTGTGCTCTTAGCACTCACAGTTGGACTGAGTGTGTTACTTCCTGAGTTACTCATGGCTAATCCTCTACTCCAGTGATGGCTATTATCTGGGCTTTCAGAACATCAATAAGCATGACTCACCTTCATGTTGTTGTTGTTTTTTTGGTGGAACTCAAGATTTGACCCCAAAGCCCCGCTATCACTGAGCTGCTTCTTTTTTTTTTTTTTTTTTTGTGGAACCGGGGATTGAACTCAGGCCCTTGCACTTGCCAGGAAAGCGCTTATTCCACTGAGCCATCTCCCCGGCCCTCCCGAGCTGCTTCTTCAGCCCTTTTATTTTATTAATTTTTAACATTTTATTTATTTGTATTTGTTTGGTTTTTTAGTAATAGGGATTGAACCCTGCACCTCTGCACCGAGCTGTATCTCAGCATCTTTTTATAAATTTGAGACAGGGTTGCTGAGTTCAAACTTGCTATCCTTCTCCCTCAGCCTCCCAGTGTGCTGGGATTATAGATGTGTACCTTCATGGCTGGCAGTGTTGTCCAGGCTGGTCTCACACTTGCAATCCATGTGCCTCAGCTCCCTAAAAATAGCATTAAAGAGAAAAGGAAAAAAAGTGTAGCTAATGTGTAGAGCATACAATCAGCGTTTGAGTGATTAACAAACATTTTACTTAATGTTCACTCTAATTTGTGTTTCTTGTATGTTGTTTTTTTAAACACTTCCCACGTGTGAAGCCCTGTGTTGTGCAGAGTAGAGAAGAAGGGACAGTTCTGTCCTTAGAGAGCTCACAGTGCCATAACCAGGAGCTTAGATTTGTTGGACACTACCAGTGAGGGTGCCAGAGAAGAGTACTGGCACTGGACAGGGTGGAAAGGACAGTGTGATTCTTCGCTAAATGAAAGGTTCATCTGAGAGGGTGATCCTTACAGTCTTTGAATGAGTGGGGTACTTTTGGAATTAGGACATAAAATTTACAGCCATCAGAGGAGACAGGATGCCTGGAAGGGTAGATTGAACCCAGGAAAGCCTGAAGTCAGATTGGCTATTACAGCAAGAGCAATAATTAGATGGGTGGATGGATGGATGGATGGATGGATGGATGGATGGATAGATAGATAGAAGACAGACAGACAGACAAGATAGATAATATTTACAAGCTAGTAAGTACCATTCATTTATTAGCATTGAACTCATGGAAACAGCCTTTTAGCTTGTATCTGAATGAAACTTGCTTATGACATGTAAGGCACATCATTTTATAAGTTAGATTTTAACTAGAAGTCCTTGGGGCCAGTGAGATGGCTCAGTAGAATAAGCGCTTCCCTGGCAAGCACAAGGGCCTGAGTTCAACCCTCGGTTCCGCCAAAAAAAAAAAAAAAAGAAGAAGAAGTCCTCCTGCTTCAGTCACCAAGAATGCTAGGTTTATAAGCATGCATTACCATGCCTGACGTAAAAGATTTATTTGTATAGGGGGAATTAATCTGTTACCTTGAGGTATTCAAATAGGTCTGCAGAAAAGGTGAAGGCACTTGTTTCTACAAGAAGAATGAAAGACTCTTTAAACAAAATATTTAAGGAAAACCTATTGGGGCTAGAGATGTGGCTCAGTGGTGGAGCATATGCATGGTATGTACAGTGCCCTAAGTTCAGTCACCAGCAGCAAAAATCACAAACAACACTTAAGTCTCCCCACTTCTGTAGGGTTGGGAATACAAATCTTTTTAATAAACCTAAACAAAGATGTGAATAGGGAAACAGGTAGACAGGTTACATAAATTTAACAGTATGTTAACAAGTGTATTTGTTGAGGTAACATTTCTCTGACTTTCATTGTTTACAAGTTCTCTTTTGATAATACTTTTCTTTTTTTATTTAGGAAAATTGTGGCTGAATATGAAAAGACCATTGCCCAAATGATTGGTAAGGAGAAAGCTTTTTTCCTAGGCTCTGAGCCATAGCAACTGTCTTAACTTGTTCTGGCTGCTATAACCTGGGTGGGTTATAAACAACTGACATTTCTTTCTCCCAGCTGTCAAGGCCATGGTAGGTAAGTGTGTAGCTGAGGTCAGTGTCTTAGTGTGGTGGCGGTGAGGCTTTGAGAGACCAAGTACCCAAACTGCAACTCAGAACCTACTTATATATTACAAAGTGCCAAAACTGCAATCAAACTTGAGTATGGAGATTTTAGTTTAGAAAAAACAATTGTTACCCAGTGCCTGGCTTATGTGCCAGTGGAGAATGCTCCATGTGCCTGCTATGGCAAGCACATCATAGGTCTGCACCACTGTCTCAGTCCTTTCTCACTTCATTCTTACATGGTAACTGGAGGGCTGCCCAGCTCTCAAGCTCTAGCTCTGCTCTGCTCTGGTCTGGTCTCAGTCTCTCTTTCCCTCCTTCTTGTCCCCCCAGCCCATCCCTCTCTCCCTGTCTGTCACATAATTGTTGTACATATTTATGGGTTACAGTATGAGAATTCTAAACATAAATATAATGTAATGATTAAACCAGAGTAATTTAATTACCCCATCTCAAACACTTATCATTTCTTTGTATTGGGAACCTTTGAACGGCTGTGTTCTAGCACTTTATGAAACAAACAGAACATCACGATAGTCTGGTCACCATACTATGCTGTAGAATCCTGGGACTTATCCTACAATCTACCTGAATTTTGGTACTTATTACCCAGCCTGCTCCATCCCCACTCCCTCCCACTTCACTGACTACTCTTCTGTTTGCTGCTTCTGTGAAATCAATTTTTCAGTGTCTACAAAATATGTAATGTTTGTCCTTCTATGTCTGGATCATCTCAGTTAATATAATGCTCTCTGCATTCAAGAACACTAATTCTGTCTATGCCCCTGTGACTTGATTACCTCCCCACCCAACATTGTCACTGGGGTGTAGATTTCCACCAGTGAACAAGGAGCAGGGAATATAAGCATTACTCATGGATACTTTCCAGATTATGACACAAACTTCAGCTTGTGGATCACTGACTTCCATGGGGACTACAAGGTTGCTGCACACACTGGACATTGTTCCTGAGGGATATATCCTACGAGCTCCTGGTCAAAGCATTTTCATCAGTTAAAGAGTGCACTCTTATCTCATGTGTGTTCTTATTTAAAGATACTTTATTTGATACACATTGTTCATTTATTAGCACCAAACTCATGACCAACAGCCCTTTAACTCATGTAAATAAAGCTTGCTTATCACATGTATTAAGGCACACTACAGCTTCTTATGCTTAGCAACACTTAGTAAGACTTCAGCACCACCTTTGGGGTCATTTCCAATAGCAAGATCACCAGCAAAAAGCACTAAAATACAAAATGTGGCACTAGTAGACCACAGAATGTTCACTTGTTGTGAAATGCAGAAAGTCATCTTGTTCACCCTCAAGTAAGATTATGCACATCCATTGATTAAAAATTTTAGTCTCATATCCAAAAGTAACTGAAAAAGCTAATGAGTATTGATTTTGAGATGCAGATTAATTTGAGTAAGTAGGCAAATTGGCAGATATAGATGGTAAATGACAAGGATCAACTGAATCCCTTGCATTCTGTGAGAAGTCCTTTGGGTGTTCAGTGCCTAGCATGTTGGTGGTCTACTGTGTCCGTAACACCTAGTCTGTAGACTCTTCTTCTGATGTAGTGTCTCTACTCACTAGAAGTTCAAATTTCTCTCCATTAGAGCCAGTATGTCTTATAAAGCCATAGTGCTCTGTCATCCTGCACTGAACTTAGAGCTCTGCTAGTGAATATTGTAGGATTGACTTCCTCAGTCAAAGTATGTCTCATCTTCCAGCACTTGTATATATTTTTTTTTATTTTTTCAAAATTTTATTGATAAACAGCTAGCAATGAGACAGTTTCAAATCAAATCAGAAGTACAGTTTCAACAAATAACACACTGCATATATTCTTCTTAGTGGTTAATTGCTGTACAAGATGTGGACTTGAGATCCTATTTACAAACACCATTAGAACAAATCATTCTATTCATTAAGAGAATGCAACTATATATCTATCCTAACCACTTTGAATACACAGATACAAAATGGACATTCATCTCTATACCCTATTTTTTCTAAGTTCCATTATTGAATATTATAGGTGTGTAAACTCAGCAAAATATTCTAAAAGAGTCCAGTAGACCATAATAGCATTGGGTCTTCTGTTTAACTGGTAATGTCAGAAATTATTGACCTGAGTCCCCCACAGCTCAACATAATAGCATGGCTTTACTTCCTATATTTCGTCTTCATACTTTTCTACTGGATGGTTAAGACCAAGGTAAAGCAGGACCTGTGCAATAAGAGTTGTAGCTTTTTGGTCTGGGAAGGTCAGTGAAATGCCCTCAGGATTTATCCTGAGATCCTGTACCTCAGATTGTAGAACCTTTGTCAGCCAGCACTTGTATATTGAAGTGAGTTTCTGCTGTTAATATCACCGAATGCCTTTCACCTGGGCCTTTGTTGTACTGTCCCTTCTGTGTACTCATTTCCCAGTGGCTGTGTGATTGCCACCTCAAATATCTGCTCAGATCTCACCCCAGAGGAAGACTCCTGTCTACCACACTAGACACTGTCCTGCCCTGTCCTTTTCCCTGCTTTGGCCTTTCCCACTTCCCTTGTCATCCTATTTCCCCTTCCTGGAATATGAGTCCTTGAGAAAGGAATTTTTTAACATCCATGGCTGTGTCCCTATTGCTACGAACATTACTTGGTTCACTGAGTACCTCTTAGCTCTCTTGAATAACATGCCAAAATAAGCAGCCATTGCTTTTGACTGGTTCTTCTCAGAAGACGAACAGAGGACCAGCATGACCTCTCAGAAGAGCTTCCAGCAGCTGACCATGGAGAAGGAGCAAGCACTGGCTGACCTGAACTCTGTTGAAAGATCCCTCTCTGACCTGTTCAGGAGATATGAGAACCTGAAAGGCGTGCTGGAAGGGTTCAAGAAGGTAATATGTCCTCCTTCATGTGTCCCCTGACTCATGAGGGAATGTCTTGGTGGTATACGGGGCTGGGAAGGTGACCTTTTGGCAGGTCTCACGTCCTCTTAGCCTTGTTTTCTAGCTTAGTCTTCTCTCGTAATGATGGCTTTTTCCAGAATTTTCTCTCTGTGGTTGTTCAGGTGGAAGCTAGCCTGCAGGGATAGGGAGGGCATGTCTTAGTAATTTCTACTGGGCCAAGCTAATGAACCCCAGACACACCCAGATTAATCAGACTGTGCTACAGAGGACAGACCTAGAGCTCTCAGACCTCAACAGGATTCTAAAATAATTGTTTTTGGTAGTACCTGGGAATGAACCCAGAGTCTTCGTATTGAGCTATATCACACCAAAATATCACTGAAAAAATCCAATCTGCACATTCTAGAATAAATTAAATGTAACAGTTTAGTTGTATGCTATCAATAACACATTTGCAGTACTGAAAATCATGTGCTGTGTGGATGTGGTGCTAGGGATGAAATCAGGGGCCATGCACATGCTAGGTAAGTGCTTTGCTACTGAGTTACACCCCCAGCCTTTGAAATTGTTTATTTTCATATGAAATAAAAATGAAGAGTGAATAAATCATGATTCAGTTTTGAACAAGGCGTTCTTAAAAGAGTTATGTTGGCATAACTGAACACCAGTGAATATTATCACAAAAAATTATATATAGCATTTATTCAGTTAGAGTAGCATTTGCCCATTCATATCTAAGTTAGTTTTTCCCATTTTTAAAAAGTATGCATTCTGCTAGACATGGTGGCACAATCCTGTAATCCCAGCACTTGGGAGGCTGGTGCAAGAGGATCACTGTAAATTTGAGGACAGCCTGCGCTACAAAGTGAGTTCAAGGCCAGCCTGAACTGCATAATGAAACCTTATCTCAAAAAGAAAAAAAATAATAAGTTAATTCTTTTTTTGGAACCAGGAATCAAACTCACTCAGGACTCATGCTTGCCAGGCAGACACTGTGCCACTGAGCTATGTCCTCCCTTTAAAAGTGTGCCTGTGATGCAGGACATACTAGTAGTAGAAGAAATACAAAATGACCTGCTTGTTTTTTTTCACTTTGAAACAGAATGAAGAAGCCTTGAAAAAATGTGCTCAGGATTACTTAGCCAGAGTCAAACAAGAGGAACAGCGATACCAGGCCCTGAAAACTCATGCAGAGGAGAAACTAGACAGGTAAGAGTTCATAGTTTGTTTTTGCTGTTTGTTTTGTTTTAGTTGGAATCTCACTATATAGTCATGGCTGGGCTTGAACTCTGTACTCTCATCCAGCTGGCCTCGAAACATAGGTGCTAGGATTTAGGTATGCACAACCACTGGCAAGAGCTGGTAAGTTTCACGTCTCATGATGTTATGGGGAGATTGAAGGGAGGCAGGTAGGATTTTTTTAAATCCTAAAATGTTATCCATGTACATTTTGCTGCCTGTGTTCCTATTATAAATTTTTTTTATTTCTCCTTCTTGTTCCCATAAGCACTATTATTAAAAGTTTATTGTATGTCCTTTAGTCCTTCCTTTGTGTCTTTGCAAATACCACTCAAAATGGTTTTATTTTCCTTTAAAAACTAGTAATATTGGAATTATAACTATACAAACTTTCTCTTTTATTTACTAATGCGTATATGAAGGCCATTATTCCACATCAGAAGAGATAAGTGGCCAAATTATTTTTATTGGATTGTAGAACTATAACTTTGTTTGTTTGTTTAGACAGTCATACATGTAGTTTAGGCTGGACCTGAACTCACTGTGTATTCCAGGCTGGCCCAAACTCATGATAATCCTCCTGCCTCAGCCTTCTGAATGCTAAAATTACCAATGAATGCCACCACCCACAACTGTTGCTTTCTCTTTTTAAAAAACTTTTTAAAAATTAATGGACAGTTAGGTAGTTACAAACTTTTTCCATTATAAACAGAGCAGAGTTTTTCTGTAAGTATTGGATTTTCTGGTCAGAAGATGCGTGCAGCAGGAAAACAACTAAAACTAAGGAAATCAAAATGTGTATACATTTCAAATTGTCCTAGTTACTATTGCTTTGCAAAACAAAATGACAGTGCCAGTTTTCCTTCCAGTCACCACATGGTTCTGTTTCCTTGCTTCTGGACTAACACATAGTCATTCTTGTTAATTTTTGGTGATCTGATAAATTTTAGAAGTTTAGCATTTGGGTGTTGGGTGTAGCCCAGTGGTAGCTGCTTAGCATGCATGAGACTCTGGTTCAATCCCAAGAACTCCACCAAGAAGTTATTTTACTTTGTATGACTCTTAGCTGGCAATAATGACACACTCATCAATCCCAGACCTCTGGGAAGCTGAGGCAGGAAGATCACAAGTTTGAGCCCAGGTTGGGCAATTTAACAACTTTGTGAGATCTTGTCTCAGAAGATTTTGTAAAGGGCTGGATGACAAAAACATCATGGTGTAGTGACAAAGAAACTGACCCAAGGATCAGTAGAACAGAACAGAAGATGTAGAAACAACTCCAAGGGCCAGCCAAATAACTCAGTGAATTAAAGCACTTGCAAGCAGGTGCAGGGGCCAGGGGTTCAATCCCCAGGCCTGGTTTGCTGGCCCTGCTGCCGGGGCATGCTGAGAGGCAGTTGAGACTGGGCATGGTGGCGCATGCCTGTAATCCCAGCTTTTGGGAGGCTGTAAACAGGTGGATCACTGTAAAAAAGAAAAGAGAAAGAAAAAGAAACAACTTCAAACACACTCAGCTGGGCTGGGGAGATGGCTCAGTGGAATAAGCGCTTCCCTGGCAAGTGCAAGGGCCTGAGTTCAATCTCTGGTTCTGAAACACACACAGTCTCTCTCTCTCT